TTCCCTTTGAGACAAGACAGCACCCACCCCAATATCTGAAGCATCAACTTCAAGAATAAAAGGCATAGAAGGGACAGGATGCTGTAAAATATGAGCAGAAGCGAACGCAGTCTTAAGAAATTCAAAAGCCTCAAGCGCTTCTGGGGTCCAGACATCAGTATTACCATCCTTTTTAGTCATTCGAGTTATAGGCGCTACAATGGAAGAAAAACATTTAATAAAGCATCTATAAAAGTTAGAAAAACCAAGAAAACGCTGAATGGCTTTCAAACCCTGAGGCAGAGGCCATTCTATGACAGCAGAAAGCTTCTTGGGATCAATACAAAAACCCTTAGCAGAAATTAGATACCCCAAGAACTGGACTTCGGATTGATCAAACAAACATTTTTCAACTTTACAATAGAGACCATTAACAAGAAGGGTTTTCAAAACTAATTTAACATGCATGTGATGAGTATGCAAATCGGGTGAATATATTAATATGTCGTCCAAGTACACTATTACAAATGTGTGTATGTACTCTCGTGAGACATCATTAAACTCATTAAACTCTTGAAACACTGCTGGGGCGTTACAAAGACCAAAGGGCATCACAGCGTATTCGTAATGACCACTCCTAGTATTGAATGTAATTTTCCATTCATGGTCCTTTTTTATACGTATGAGATTGTATGCACCCCAGTTTAGTAAACACAGTAGCTCGTTTAAGCCTGTCAAATAATTCCATGATTAAAGGTATAGGGTAAGCATTTTTATGGTGATTTTATTAAGGCCCCTATAGTCGATACAGGGTCTTAAATCGTCCTCCTTCTTCGACACAAAGAAGAAACCAGCCCCTGTCGGAGAAGAGCATCTCCTTATAAACCCCTTTTGTAAAGATTCTTTGATATATTCCTCCATGACATGGTTTTCTTGAGGAGACAAAGGATACACCCTCCCATTGGGAGGCACAGCGCCAGGTAGCAAATCGATAGCACAGTCGTAGGGTTTGTGAGACGGTAACTTTTCAGCCTCCCTTTTATCGAAGACAGACTTAAGAGACATGTACTGAGGTGGTATAACAGTAAACAAAGGAGAAGTAGTAGGAACGTTAATAGAATTTAAAGGGGAGATTTTAACGATACAAGACTCTTGGCAAGCATCACTCCAAGATACTATTTGTCCTGACTCCCAGTCAAAAGTGGGATTATGAGAACGCAACCATGGGTACCCTAACACGATGTGAGAGGAAGGAGAAGTGATGATCTGAAACCGAATGGTTTCTGAGTGTAACAACCCTGTAGACATATGCAACAGTTCAGTTTCATGTGTGATAACTGGGGAGCATAATGGTCTACCATCTATGCAGGGCCGGATTAAGAGCACATTGGGCCTGGTGCTGACAAATATTATGGGCCTAATTACGGAATCTTATCGACCAAAAATACTAAAACAGTCATACCTCCCAAGCGTCATGTATCTGATGGAGATGGTGCTGGAGGGAAACTCAAATGCAGCTATAGGAAAACACATACTCTATGCTAATCTCTCTCTAATTTATGCTTTGAAGTAAATCCATAACCCCTAACAGTAGTGTCCAGTGAAGCAGGAAGTCAATGGGTGGGGTAAAAGGGTGGGCCACTGGTGCGAATCACGTGACCAGACCTGCCAAAAGGGGAGAACATGCCCAAAAAGGGGGCATGTCTGTCTAAAGAATTTGAAGGTCCAACTAAGGGCATACTATGCAGACAGCACCCTGAGCTTGACATAAATGCATCTAATGATGCGCTCATTCCGTGCTTTCTAAGGACTGTCCCCTAGCACTCGCTGGTCCTCTTGTCTCCTTGCCTTCTTACTAGCAGGCAGAAGTTCCTGGTATATAGTCTGAGACAGAGAAAAGGTGTATGTAGTGAGTGTAGAAGAAAGGGGACATGCCACAGTGTTAGAGAGACTAGCGTCTGCATTACCTAAACTAATTTTATTGTCAGCTAGTCCACACAAGTTTTGTTCCCATACATCCCTCTTCCAAAGCTTCCAAACTTAAAGGGACACTATAGTCACCAGAACAACTACAGCTTATTGTATTTGTTCTGGTAAGTAGAATCATTCCATTCAGGCCTTTTGCAGTAAACACTGTCTTTTCAGAGACAATAACTCCACTGGCCACTCCTTAGATGGCTGCTAGAGGTGCTTCCTGGGGCAGTATTGCCTAGTGTGCAGCACTGCCATTCAGTGTCTCCACCCTCTGCATGATGGAACTTTCCTCATAGAGATACATTGATTCAATTTATCTTTATGAGGAGATGCTGATTGGCCAGGGTTATGTTGGAGTTGTGCTGGTTCTGCCCCTGATCTGCCTAATTGACAGTCTCAGCCAATCTTATGGGGAAGTATTGTAATTTGCTCAGACCACCACTTCTGATGATGTCAACAGACAGTCAATTCAGAGGCAGAGCCAGCAGCTGCAGACTTGAATACAAGTTATATTTTACTATACTTAGGGAGGCAAGAAAGGGCCGGGGTGTTGGTTTTAACATAATAGAGTCAGAAATACATGATTGTGTTCCTGACCCTATAGTGCTCCTTTAAGCAAGAATATGTGAAGAGTAGTTAGGGTTGCCACCTTTCTTGGAAAAAAATACCAGCCTTAATCATTTAATCACAAGGAATGACATCAGAGAAAATTCTGTAAAATCACCAACAAACTACTTACAGTTTGATTCTGCTGTATAGATGGATTGCTCCCAGTGTCTCAGTCTCGCAAGTCACCCAGTGTCTCAGTGTCCCTATGTATCACAGTGTCAGTGTCCTCATGTCGCCCAGTCCCCTAGTCTCCCAGTGTCTGTGTCCCCATTTCTCCCAGTGTCCCAATGTCTCAGTGTGTCCCCATGTCACCAGGATACTGGGGACACTGAGAGACATGGGGACACAGGCATTTAGGGAAACTGGGAGAAATGGGGACACAGACACTAGGGACACAGACACTGGGAGACATGGGGACACTGAAACATTTGGGGACACTAAGATACCTGAGGGGACACAAAGACATGGGAACACAGACACTGGGAGACTAGGGGACACTGGGAGACTAGGGGACACTGGCTGGAAGACAGACACTTGAGGACACTGGGAGACATGGGGACAGTTGTGGGCATAGACATGGGGACACTGGGACATATAGGGACACTGGGAGACATGGGGACACTAGGCACACTGAGACACTAGGAACACAGACACCGGGAGACATAGGGACACTGAAACATTTGGGGACACTAAGATACTAGGGACACAGAGACATGGGGTTTCTGTGAGACTTGGGGACAGTTGTGGACATAGACATGGAGACACTGGGACATATAGGGACACTGGGACACATGGGGACACTAGGCACACTGAGAGACATGGGACACAGACACTGACTTAGGGACACTGAGACACTAGCGACACTGGATGGGGGACATGGGGACACTGGGAGAAATGGGGACATAGTGTCTCCGTGTCCCAATGTCTCAGTGTCTCCCAATGTCTCACAGCATCCCCATGTGTCTCAGCATCCCCATGTGTCCCAGTGTCCCCTCAGTGTCCCCATGTTTTCCAGTGTCCCCACGTGTCTCAGTGTTTCCAGGTCTCCCAGTTTCTGTGTCCCCATTTGTCCTAGTGTCTCAGTGTTCCCTAGTGTCTGTGTCCCCATGTGCCCCCTAGAGTCTGTGTCCCCTAGTATCCCAGTGTCCCCATATGTCCCCTAGTGTCTCAGTGTCCACATGTGTCCCCCAGTGTCCCCATCCCTCACTTACCTGAGCTGTAGAGCTGCTGTCTGGACTCTGTGCTGTGTTGCTGCTCCCCCACAGATCAGTGAGTAGCAGAGAGAGGCAGGGATATGCTGTAACTTCCTATCCCTGCCTCTCTCCACACACAGTGACCCCTACTGGCTGGTGCTGGTATTGTAGAGTAATCTCCATTTATTCTGAGAAAAAATATCTGCATTTGTATTGCCAGTATTACTGCAATACCGGCACGGCCAGGCAGACTCAAATACCGGCTGTGCCAGTAAAATACCAGTCAGGTGGCAAACCTAAGAGTAGTGTGTGTGTTTTTTTTTTTTTTTTAAATGGGCCTAGTCCATGGGCCTGGGCCTGGAGCTGCAGCTCCATCAGCCCCTATGTTAATCTGGCCCTGCATCTATGGCCTCAACGGCCAAGGGTGTCCTCTTCTCTCTAATGGGTATGTTGTGTTTTTTTTAACAAAGCCAGAATCTATGAAGTTCTCAGCCGCACCGGAATCAACCAGAGCTAGTATGTTCCCTGCTATGCTATTTTTCTCAAGATGCAGGGAGACAGGGAGAAGCAATCTGTTAAGAGGGAAATGTGGGGACTCAGATGTCACACCCTATACGGTCTTAGGTGCGATAGTTTTCCGGACGCAAGGGACATTCCTGTCGCATATGGCCCTTCCTACCACAGTACAGGCAAAGTCCCTCTTTTCTCCTATACAATTTTTCAGCATCAGTGAGTTTAGCAACCCCTAATTGCATGGGTTCCTCCTCTGATACTTTGGAACCCTCAGGATTTACAGCTCTAGGAGTATTAAGTGTAAAAAGGCGTCTATTCCTAGTCTTGGTATATGGCCTGTCACGAATCCTATTGTCTATATCGATGAGATAGTCGATAAGATCAGGAAGATCCCTGGCCGCTACCTCATCCAATATAGTTTCAGATAGACCTTCCATGAGCGCAGTAGTCAGCCCATTGTTGGTCCAATCTACCTGTGAAGCAAGGTTACGGAACTGAATAGCATAATCGGCAACAGACTTAGATCCCTGTTTAATTCTCATTAACGCCCTGACGGCATTCTTCGACCTTTTAGTTGTGTCAAAGGTTCTACAAAAAGCCGCAAGGAAGCTACTGAAATCATGCACCATAGGTCCATTAGCCTCCCAAATAGGATTTGCCCACTCAAGTGTTTTATCTGTAAGTTGGTGCATAAGGAAACCAACCTTAGACCTATCAGCGTGAAATGAACGTGGATACATTTCAAAGTGGAATTACATTTGATTAAGGAATCCCCAGCATGTCTTAGCATCCCCTCCATACCTAGGTGGAGGGGATAGATGTGCAGAAACATTAGGCATGGTAGATGTGTCTGGTACAAGGGGTGCAGGAGGAGCTGGTACAGGTATCGGAGCTGTTCTGGATAAGAGTGTCAGGATGGCCTGAGCCATCTGATCCAGATGGTGATCCTGCTCTACAAATCTAGCCTCACGAGTAGCCATCTGCTGACCTAAAAATAGTAATTGGGGTGGAACAGCACTACAGTACTAATCACAGAGGTAGATGGAGCTGCAAACCTGAGGGGAAGGGCAACCCTCAAACCCTTCAATAAATCTGGGAGAACAGGAAACAACAAAAATACAGGCTGCGCTAAATGGAACAAATGAGAGATAATATTTACAAAAGAGTCTCTGAAAATACAAGGTGGGCCTTGGTAGGTCTTCTTTGGTTCTTGATAAGGTCCTTAGTGGTTAATATGAAAAACAAAAGTAAACACAAAGAGAGACCAATAGTGCAAAACCGTTAGGAGATGGTGTCACGGACCACACAGAAATAGAGAAATGCCAACTCACAATCAATAGAGCTATGCCCAGCTCTAGGTAAAATGATAAAAAAACCTCTGTTATTAAGAAAGCCTTTTATTAATAATTCCCATCATGTAAATAAGTTTGTGTAATAAGATGTAACACTTTGACACTTCAAAACCCAGTATATGCAATGTTGAGATGATTTTAATATGTAATATGAGCATGGCTGCTGGAACACAAAACCGAAGGTGGAACGCATGAAAATGGCCGCTGGAACGCATACATAGCAAAACCGGAAGTGACATCACACAGCATCAGAATGCAGATTGCCAGCACACTGGAAGTTCAGGATGACTCTGATAGGTTAATTAGAGCAGGGGGGATGTCTGTATAGTGTGAAATTAGGCGCCAAAAGACATTTATAAAGAGGGATTGTACACTAGAAGTTTATGCACCCGAGGAAGACGCAAATCCAAGCGCTGAAACGCGTTGTGCTTTTACTCTTTGAATGAATGGCACTCCAGAAAACCTTAATGTAAGGCTTTTTATATTTTTTGTAATAAATATTGTGATTTTATATTAATCTGGTGTTGCCTTTCCCACAATTATTTTCTGAGGGATCATCTCCAACTCACCTGGATCTGCACATTGCATTCAAAGTGATATTACCTGAGCCAGTTTCGATATAACAGACTCAGAAAAATGTGAGTTGGACCATACAGAGTTTTAAATTGAACCCTCTTTTATAACAGTGTTATCCTATGAGTTCTCCTTTTTATACCATACAGGAATATCTGTTTCTGTTGCCTCCATTATTGGAGAAGGAATTATACTGTATTCAGGTATAACTATAATTCACCTGTGTAACACATATGGCGGTGTCAAGCTCTGGGAGTTAGAGCATTCATATTACTCCAATTTTGCGCTGAGCACTTTATCTTTGTATTATATATTTATTTCACTGTTGGTGGAATCTTTTGTAAATAATTCCACTGTGTTCACAGCTGCATGTCCTAGCGCTCATATTATTACACCACTATCTGGTATTTTGAAAGCTGTAGATTGTAACAGTTTTATTGAAAGCATCAGTTGTCACCATTCCCCTTGGTTAAAAAATGCCCAAAAGGATAATTCCTTAGAATAAGACAAAATTGTAGTGATCCAATAGTTTATGAGAATCAGTCTTCAGTCAATCAAAGAAGATTTTACAGATAAGGGATATGATAAAATTAAATTAGAAAAACACAGACTAGAAATAAAAGAGAAAGATAGGAAAGAACTGTTACAGTATAAAACTAAAACGAAGGAAGAGATGAAAAACATTCCCTTTATCTGTAATTGTAGTACAAACAAATACAAAGTCCGTAAAATAATTAACAAATATTGGCCTATACTTCTACAGGATCCTCGTTTAAAATCCCTTCTCCCTGAAATACCTAGATTCTTCCATAGGGGAATAAGAAACTTAAAAAGCTCACTTGCAAAAAGTTTTATCAGAGATAAGAAAAAACAACCGATGATTTTCAAAAGTGATAAAGGTTTTTATTTATTAGGACAATGCAGTGCCTGCAAAAGATCAGGGAACAGTAGAAGAGTGTTTAAAAATATAGTCAGCGAAGAAGGTGTATCTATACCTATCAGCTATCAGATAATTCATCACCTGCTTTTCTAAAAATATTATCTATCTCCTTATTTGCCCCTTTGGGCTAAGATATGTAGGTCTTACGACTAGACCTTTACATATCAGAATTAGGGAACATATATATAACATCCAAAGAGGTTATGATAAACATAGTGTTTCAAGCCACTTTAAAACATCTCATGATCAGGATCCAAGAGGCATTTCCTTTATGTGCATAAAAAAGATGGAAAAAAACTGGAGAGGTGGGGATTTTATTCAACAGTTAGGAAAGTTAGAGGTGGAATGGATTTTTAAATTAAATACCTTAATACCGTATGGCCTTAACTTGGATTTCGAATTATGTAACTTTCTATAAACTATGCCCCTCATTCGTTCTTATTTTTCATATTTACATCACCTAAACTGGGTTGTGAATGATACCATTTTATATAAATTATGCACCTTATTCGTTCTTATTTTTAACATCCCTTTCCCCTATATTATATGGAGAGCAAGATGCATTAATATTAGTGTCCAATATTTCTTCTTACAGCTAGATGTTTTAGTATCATTACCCTGTAACCTATCTTTTATTTGATTGGTTTTAGTATAAGTGTTCAGAATTCTACCCATCCGATAATACTGCAGTAACAGCTTCCAAGTTTATATCTACAGTGCCTAGCAAAAGTATTCACCCCGCTTGGCATTTTTCGTGTTTTGTTGCCTCACAACCTGGAATTAACATGGATTGTTTGAGGATTTGCATAATTTAATTTACAGAACATGCCCACAACTTTGAAGATTATTGTGAAGCAAACAACAAATAGGACAAAATAACAGAAAAAGTCAATGTGCATAACTATTCCCCCCCCCCAAGTCAATACATTGTAGTGCCACATTTTACGGCAATCACAGCTCCACGTCTCTTTGGATAAGTCTCTATGAGCTTGCCACATCTTACCACTGGGATTTTTGCCCATTCCTCCTTGCAAAACAGCTCTAGCTCCTTCAAATTGGATGGTTTGCACTTGTGAACAGCAATCTTTAAGTCTGACCACAGATTTTCTATTGGATTGAGGTCTGGGCTTTGACTAGCCCAGTCCAACACATTTACATGTTTCCCCTTAAACCACTCAAGTGTTACTTTAGCAGTGTGTTTGGGGTCATTGTCCTGCTGGAAGGTGAACCTCCGTCTTAGCCTCAAATCACGCACAGAGTGGTACAAGTTTTGCTCAAGAATATCCCTGTATTTAGCACTATCCATCTTCCCCTCAACTTTGACCAGTTTCCCAGTCCCGGCTGCTAAATGGTGTTCTTTGGGTGATGTAATGTGTTTGGTTTGCGCCAGACATAGCGTTTTCTTTGATGGCTGAAAAGTTAAATTTTAGTCTTATCATACCAGTGCACCTTTCTCCATACATTTTGGGAGTCTCCCACATGCCTTTTTGCAAACTCAAAACGTGCCATTTTGATTTTTGCTGAAAGTAATGGCTTTCTTCTTCAAGTCATGCCACTCTGCCATAAAGCCCAACTCTATGGAGCGTACGGATTATTGTCGTACTATGTACAGATACTCCAGTCTCTGCTGTGGAACTCTGCAGCTCCTCCAGGGTTACCTTAGGTCTCTGTGCTGCCTCTATGATTAATGTCCTCCTTGCCCGGTCCGTGAGTTTTGGTGGGTGGTTGTCTCTTGGCAGGTTTGCTGTTGTGCCATGTTCTTTCCATTTGGTTATGATAGATTTGATGGTGCTCCTGGGGATCATCAAAGATTTGGATATTTTTTTTATAACTTAACCCTGACTACTTCTCAACAACATTGTCCCTTTCTTGTTTGGAGAGTTCCTTGGTCTTCATGGCAGTGTTTGGTTAGTGGTGCTAATTTCTCATTTCACTTCACCAACGTAGATTATTGTGTTCTGAACCATCACATAAAATTCAAATTAATAAAACATTGAACTTAAGGTTGTAATGTAACAAAATAGGTAAAAAGTCAAGGGGGGTGAATACTTTTGCAAGGCACTGTACCTGCTTCTATTTATATCTATTTAGAATGACAGTTTTGATATATGCTCTAAACTTTGATTTGAAATTATACCATTTTATATGAATTATGCATCTTATTCATTCTTACTTTTAACATTCACTTCCCCTATATAATATGGAGAGCAAGAAGCATTCGTATTAATACAATTATTTTTTTTTCTTGCAGCTAAATGTTTTAGTGTAATGATCCTGAATAGAGATGAGCGTACCCGAACTGTAAGCTTCAAGTTCGTACCGAACATTACGATTTTTGACCCGAACCCGGACATTTCAGTAACAGTTCGGGTTCGAGTTCAGTGTTCGGCGATTTAATGGGGCGTTTTGAAAAGCTGCAGGGCAGCCAATCAACAAGCGTTTGACTCGTGTGCCCTTAGAAGCCATCACAGCCATGCCTACTAATGGCATGGCTGTGATTGGCCAGTGCAGCCTGTGACCCAGCCTCTATAAAAGCTGGAGTCACATGAGTTCTTATTAGTGTAGGGAGAGGATGCTGCAGCTGTGAGGGACAGATTAGGAAAGAATTCTGGTGTTAAATCTGCAAACTACAGCGATTATTTTTGTGGGTGCTATACTACATTTTTGTACCCTGCCCTGAGCCCAGTGCCACAGAGAAATAAGCAACTGCATGCGTGCCAGGCACATTACTTTAATCCTGTTCAATGTTTTTTGGTGCTAAAAAGTAAATTTGTGTTGTGCACTTCATATCTGAGAGTCAAATAGAACCGTCAAATACTGTGGTTACATCGCACTTTGAAAAATTCTAATTTTCTTGGTGCTAAAATGTAAATTTGTGGCGTGCACTTCATATCTGAGAGTCAAATAGAATTGTCAAATACTGTGGTTACATCGCACTTTGAAAAATTCAAATTTTTTTGGTGCTAAAAAGTAAATTTGGGGTGTGCACGTCATATCTGAGAGTCGAATAGAACCGTCAAATACTGTGGTTACATCGCACTTTTAAAAATTCTAATTTTTTAGGTGCTAAAAAGTAAATTTGGGGC